TTTAGTAGAGACGGGGTTTCACCATGTTGACCAGGATGGTCTCGATCTCTTGACCTCGTGATCCACCTGCCTCGGCCTCCCAAAGTGCTGGGATTACAGGCTTGAGCCACCGCGCCCGGCCTTTAGTACAAATATTAATGTTTAGGAAATAAGACTATTGCACACAATAATAGCAAAAGAAAAATGGAGCTGTTCTGATGGGAGACCACTCGTTATGAGTTATTTATTTATTTATTTAAAATTTTTTTTTTTTTGAAAGATGGGGTTTCACCATGTTGGTCAGGCTGGTCTTGAACTCCTAACCTCAGGTGATCCACCCGCCTTGGCCTCCAAAGGGTTTGGATTACAGGCATGAGCCACCACACCCGGCCAGTCATTAATTAATTAATTTTGAGTCAGAGTTTGGTTCTTGTTGCCCAGGTTGGAGTGCAATGGTGTGATCTCCGCTCACTGAAACCTCCGCTTCCTGAATTCAAGTGATTCTCCTGCCTCAGCCTCCCGAGTAACTGGGATTACAGGCGTGCGCCACCACGCCCAGCTAATGTTGTATTTATAGTAGAGATGGGGTTTCTCCATGTTGGTCACACTCGTCTCAAACTCCTGACCTCAGGTGATCCGCCCATCTCAGCCTCCCAAAGTGCTGGGATGACAGGTGTGAGCCACCGCGCCTGGCCCTTTATGTTTGATTTTAATACTCCCCACACTCTTTGACGGTTTACAGCTGCTGTATTATTTTACTCTTGGGTAAATAAATCTTAGCAGAAATTTTGTAGTTCAGGAGAATCTTCTGCTTCTGTTATTTATTTTGTTTTTATTTATTTATTTATTTTTGAGACGGAGTCTTGCTCTGTTGCCCAGGCTGGAGTGCAATGGCACTATCTCGGCTCCCTGCAACCTCTGTCTCCTGGTTCAAGGGAATCTCCTACCTCAGCCTCCTGAGTAGCTGGGATTATACGCACCGGCCACCACACCAGCTAATTTTTGTATTTTTAGTAGAGATGGGGTTTCACCATGTTGGCCAGGCTGGTCTGGAACTCCTGACCTCAGGTGATCCTCCTGCCTCAGCCTCCCAAAGTGCTGGGATGACAGGTGTGAGCCACTGTAACCAGCTTACCTCTGTTATTTAAAAGAAATTATTTTCATAAGCCCAATAAGGCTACAGTAATGTTTACATTTTTAAAATACTGCTTCTTCCATTTAGTACTATATGTATTAAACACACCTGGTGTGTTTTTCTGGCTTTGTAATATGGTTCAGATTTCTGTAGAAAGTTGGCCAGGCGAGGTAGTTCATGCCTGTAGTCCCAGAACTTTGGGAGGCCAAGGCAGGGGGATCACTTGAGGTCAGGAGTTTGAGACCAGCCTAGCCAACATGGTGAAACCCCATCTTTACTAAAAATACAAAAAATTAGCTGGGTGTGGTGGCATGCGCCTGTAATCCCAGCTAGCCGCTCAGGAGGCTGAGGCAGGAGAATTGCTTGAACCTGGGAAGCGGAGGTTGCAGTGAGCCAGGATTTCGACAGTGCACTCCAGCCTGGGCTACAGAGCAAGACTCCACACCATCCCCCCACCAAAAAAAAATTTCTGTAGAAAGTCTGGCTGTAGCCGCATTGCCATAAAGTAATGGGATATTTCACTGCAGACTTTGATAATCAGAATATGAGCATTTTTGGTGTTCTTTTTATTTCCCTCATGCTATTTTTCTTCTGATTCAACTACAGTAACAAGTAAAGATCAAATTATAAAAGTTAAAGAGCAGTAGAGATTCAGTTATTTATTATACTTTTCTACAAATGTTGCCTAAATGATCTCTCTTTCTCTTTTTGTCCTTAAAGCTCAAGCCATAAAAGCCAAAGGCCCGGTGACGATCCCATACCCTCTTTTCCAGTCTCATGTTGAAGACCTTTATGTAGAAGGACTTCCTGAAGGAATCCCTTTTAGAAGGCCATCTACTTACGGCATTCCTCGCCTTGAGAGGATATTACTTGCAAAGGAAAGGATTCGTTTTGTGATTAAGAAGTAAGACTCTTGGATTCCTTTTGGACTCTTGTCTCTGTTGTGAGCAGTAGGTCTTTTTTATTGTTGACACATATTCCTTAACTACCAGGGTTATATGTAATGAGGTTTGAGTGACTTTATGCATTGGTATTTTCCACTTTTTAATTTATCTGGGTCCCGCATTGCATCAGTCAGCCAGTGTTGGCATTTGAAGCATGAGCACGCTCACGCTGGATTGGCATGCAACTGATATTTTCTTTCACAATTTTCTGCTACTTTTGCTAAAGAACATAGTATCCATGCCTTGTTTTTAGGTCTGAGATTTTTTTTTTTTTTTTTTTTTTTTGAGACGGAGTCCAGTTGCCCAGGCTGGAGTGCAGGGGTGTGATCTCAGCTCACCACAAACACCACCTCCCAGGTTCAAGCGATTTTCCTGCCTCAGCCTCCTAAGTAGCTGGGATTATAGGCGTGCGCCACCATGCCTGGATAATTTTTTTTTAAGATGGAGTCACGATCTGTCTCCCAGGTGCGATCTGCAACCTCCGACTTCCAGGTTCAAACAGTCCTTCTCCTCAGCCTCCTGATTAGCTGGGACTGCAGGTGTGAGCCAACACGCCCAGCTAAGTTTTTGTATTTTTAGTAGAGATGGGTCTTCCCTGTGTTAGCCAGGATGGTCTCGATCTCCTGACCTCATGATCTGCCTGACTCAGTCTCCCAAAGTTGGGATTACAGGCATGAGCCAACGCATCTAGCCAATTTTTGTATTTTTAGCAGAGACGGGGTTTCACTGTGTTGGCTAGGCTGATCACGATTTTTTTTTTTTTTTTTTTGAGTTGGCGTCTCCCACAGAAATCCAGGCTGGAGTGCAGTGGCACACTCTTGGCTCCCAGGTTCAGGCGATTTTCCTGCCTCAGCCTCCCAAGTAGCTGGGATTACAGGCATGTGCCACCATGCCTGGCTAATTTTTATATTTTTAGTAGAGACAGGGTTTCACCATGTTGGCCAGGCTGGTCTTGAACTCCTAACCTCAGGTGATCCTCCCACCTTGGCCTCATAGGCCTGAGATTTTTAAAGCATATATGAGAATATATGATTATTTTTATAGCTGTATGGAGGAAGGTAGTCTTGAATACAATATGACGTTAAAGGATCCCATTGAAGAGTTTTGTAATATGCTTCAAACAGCTGTGGGTTGTAAAGCTGCCTCTTATTTTTTGAGATGGAGTTTCGCTCTTGTTGCCCAGGCTGGAGTGCAATGACGCGTTCTATGCTCACCGAAACCTCCACCTCCTGGGTTCAAGCAATTTTCCTGTCTCAGCCTCCCAAGTAGCTGGGATTGCAGGCATGTGCCACGACGTCCAGCTAATTTTTTGTATTTTTAGTAGAGACGGGATTTCACCATGTTGGCCAGGATGGTCTTGATCTCTTGACCTCGTGATCCACCTGCCTCAGCCTCCCAAAGTGCTGGGATTACAGGCGTGAGCCACCGCGCCCCGCCACAAAGTTGCCTCTTTACCTGTGAGGATACATACTCCCTCAAGCACCTTATAAGACAAGTTGCAGTTATCATTTTGTTTTATTACTCTGTAGAAACCTCAAATTAAGATTTAGTTGTGGGCCGGGTGCGGTGGCTCATGCCTGTAATCCCAGCACTTGGGATGCTGAGGCGTGTGGATCACCTGAGGTCAGGAGTTCAAGACCAGCCTGGCCAACATGGTGAAACTCCATCGGTACTAAAAATACAAAAATTTGCCAGGCATGATGGCAGGCACTTGGAATCCCAGATACTCGGGAGGCTGAGGCAGGAGGATTGCTTGAACCTGGAAGGTGGAGGTTGCAGTGAGTTGAGATTGCACCACTGCATTCCAGCCTGGGAAGAAGAGCAAAACTCCATCTCCAAAAAAAAAAAAAAAGCATTTAGTTGTGCTCAAGCATCCAGATTATCTTTTCTGGTTTTGAAACCCTGCCTTACTGACTTAGTGTTAAATATGTGCTAGTGGTTATCTGCTGAATATTTCCTAGTGAACATTGAGTATTCATTCTCACCTTTCAGACATGAGCTTCTGAATTCAACACGTGAAGATTTACAGCTTGATAAACCAGCTTCAGGAGGTAGGTTTTCGGTCTTGAGGCAGATCAGAAGATTAGGTGCCATAGTTATTTCACACTTAACATTGATTTCTTCCCTGTGTTACCTTCCACATGAAATAGTATGTCTCTGTTTAATTATGTGCCATTACAGGAGAATTCATGCTGTCAAAATTCTGTCTAATATTCTCTAGAAGAATATGCTCATCTTCTTTTTATTAATCCATTGTAAATACATGCAAATATTGCGTTATTGGGGAGACAGAACTAAAAGAACAATATTTTTTCTACTTTTGATGCAAGGTTTATCTACATGATGAATTGAACAGTTTATTATGAAGTCCACTTGAGTCAATGGAATAGGCATTCATTGAATTTCCATGATACACAGGACATAAGAAGGTTTCCTTTTAGATCGTGGAGCCATTTATATCACCCTTTGATTGTTAGATGTATTTAGTTTTGTTTTGGTTTTTGAGATGGAGTCTTACTCTGTCGCCCAGGCTGTAGTGCAGTGGTGGGATCTCAGCTCACTGCAACCTGCAGTTCCCGGGTTTGAGCGATTCTCCTGCCTCCACCTCCCAAGTAGCTGGGATTACAGGTATACACCACCATGCCTGGCTAATTTTATATTTTTAGTAGAGATGGGATTTCTCCATGTCGGTCAGGCTGATTCGAACTCCTGACCTCAGGTGATCTGCCTGCCTCAGCCTCCCAGAGTTTTGTGATTATAGGTGTGAGCCACCGCACCTGGCCTGTTAGATGTGCGTTTTTTTGTTTGTTTGTTTGTCTTTTTGAGGCAGAATCTCCCTCTGTTGCCCAGGCTGGAGTGCAGTGGCACATTCTTGGTGCACTGCAACCTCTGCCTCCTGGGTTCAAACGATTCTCCTGCCTCACCCTCCCAAGTAGTTGGGAATATAGGCACTCGCCACCATGCCTGGCTAATTTTTGTATTTTTAGTAGAGAAGGGGTGTCACCAGATTGGCCAGGCTGGTCTCAAACTCCTGACCTCAGGTGATCTGCCCACCTCAGCCTCCCAGAATTTTAGGATTACAGGCATGAGCCACCTCGCCTGGCCTAGATGTGTTTTAAAAGAAATAGAAATAGAATTGATTTCCTTGCTTGCTTTTGCTCTGGCGTGGAGTGGATCAGGGACAAGACAGAATGGAATCACACTGTTTACATTTACTAAAATGGAAGGATTGCCAGCAAGATCATATTCCTGATCTTCCTGTAGCACATGTTGCCCTCTAGCTGTTCTGGCTTTTTTTCTAGTTTATCGGATGGTTCATTTTGTTCTTTTTGTACAGCGTCCACATTGTTTTAGGAATAAACACATTCTAGAATCTTAGGGATAATTTTATTATTCTGCCTTTTTTCTTTTTGAGATGGGGTCTCGATTTGTTGCCTAGGCTAGAGTACAGTGGCACAGTCTCAGCTCACTGCAACCTCTACCTCCTGGGTTCAAGCAATTCTTCTGCCTCAGCCTCCCAAGTGGCTGGGATTACAGGCATTTGCCACCACACCTGGCTAGTTGTTGTATTTTTAGTAGAGATGGGGTTTCACCATGTTGGCCAGGCTGCTTTTGAACTCCTGATCTCAAGTGATTCCCCCTACCTTGGTCTGCCAAAGTGCTGGGATTACAGGTGTAAGCCACTGCACCCAGCCACGAATCTTGGAAATAATTTTAGTCACATTAAAAGAAAAACTAATACCTACCATTTTATAATAATAATATTAAATAATGAAAGTTATTAAACCCATTAAATTGAGAAAACTTGTATTACTGTTATTTTGACAGTAAAGGAAGAATGGTATGCCAGAATCACTAAATTAAGAAAGATGGTGGATCAGCTTTTCTGCAAAAAATTTGGTAAGTCTTTTTTTTTTTTTTTTTTTTTTATTATCCCTTCTAACTACAGTGTATAGTGTGTAATGTTTTTTTAAATGTTGTTTTATTTTAGGAAAGTAAATACAGTGAATAGGACTCACCTTCAGTTTTCTCTCTCTCTCTCTCTCATTCTCTCTCTTTTTTCTTTTTGAGAGGGAATTGCACTCTGTTGCCTAGGCTGGAGTGCAGTGGCGCAATCTCAGCTCACTGCAACCTCCTCCTCCCGGGTTCAAGCAGTTCTCCTGCCTCAGCCTCTCAGGTTGCTGGGATTACAGGTGCATGCCACTACACCTGGCTAATTTTTATATTTTTAGTAGAGATGGGGTTTTGCCATGCTGGCCAGGCTGGGCTTGAACTCCTGACCTCACTTGATCTGCCTGTCTCAGCCTCCCAAAGTGCTGGGATTATAGGTGTGAGCCACCATGCCCGGCCCTCATTCCATGAATTCCTTGTGGAAAGTTATTTCCTTAAAATGGCATGCTCACGAGGTTGAAGGGGTACAGAACATTGGCTTCCTGATTGCAGTACACATGAATGTCCTGAAATGTGCCAGTTTGTAGCGGCCATTGGAGGAGGGTTGTCACGGTCCTGAACAGGTAGTAATCAAAGGCCGCTTCCAGATAGTGTTTAGGTGATGTTCCCTATTGTCTGTTGTGATGTTCTTTCTCTCTTTTCTTCTGAAGGATACTGAAAAACAAAGTTGAATCGTTTACGCTCTCAGAGCTATTAAGATGGTCTTAGGACCAGGACACTGAAATCTGCCAAAATCTGGCTGTTGATGATGGGTCATTTCTACTTGTCTTTGCTGTATGAAGTCTATTCAATAGTTAATAAATATGTTTCTAGAGTTTTTTCAATTAAAAAGAAAATTGACCTGTGCCTTGCTTTGGATTGTACTAAAATCTGATTTCAATACAAATGTCGTCTCCCGAATTGCTTTGATTCTGTCTAGCGGAAGCCTTGGGGAGCACCGAAGCCAAGGCTGTTCCGTACCAAAAATTTGAGGCACACCCGAATGATCTGTACGTGGAAGGACTACCAGAAAACATTCCTTTCCGAAGTCCGTCATGGTATGGAATCCCAAGGCTGGAAAAAATCATTCAAGTGGGCAATCGCATTAAATTTGTTATTAAAAGGTAAGACAATCATCTGAAGTAACAGTTTCAGTGTCTTCCCTGAGAACAGATTAATTTGATGAAGATGGGTCTTTTGTTTACCTCATCATGACTATTTTATATTTACGATGAAGGCATTCATGTTTAGATTCACTTATTCAACAAATACTTGTTAGTGTAAGCATCAGATGTGCAAAATTGTGTCTAACAAGAATGCCTTCCTTGGGAGGATTCATACAAAGAGGAATGCAATGAAGGCTGGGCATGGCGGCTCACACCTGTAATCCCAGTACTTTGGGAGGCCGAGGCAGGAGGATCACTTGAGCTCAGGAGTTCAAGACCAGTCTGGCCAACATGGTGAAACTCCATCTGTACTAAAAATACAAAAATTAGCTGGATGCAGTGGTGTGTGCCTGTAGTCCCACTTACTTGGGAGGCTGAGGTTAGAGAATCGCTTGAACCTGGGAGGTGGAGGTTGCAGTGAGCGAGATGGCACCACTGCACAACAGCCTGGGTGACAGAGCAAGACTCCATCTCAAAAAAAAAAAAGGAAAAATGCAACGAAGCATTATTGAGGATTTTTAGAGGAGAAGGTGAGGATGGCGTACCTAGTTCATTCACTTGTACATCCAGCAGAGAGGGAAGGCGTTTCAAGTCAACGAAATTTATGAGTAGGGGCGGGAGTCGGCAAACCTCTCCACATATCCACGGATCTCACCCATTGTGTGTGGAGTGAGGAGTGCCATGTGGGCATGGCGGGATCGCATGGGTAGATTGTGGTGGTCAAGTGGAGGAAGACCTCAGATCTTAGAAAAGCAGAGGCAGTCATGAATTTGTCTCGAAGTACATCCCTCTGAAAATCACTTGGATCTGCCCTTTAGAAAAGTTATTGTGGCTTGATTTTGAAGGGTAACACAGTGGTAGTTTGGGTGCAGGGGTAGGAACAGAAGGCCTCTCTCCACTCACGGAAGGGATGCTGAAGGGAAACCTTGCTTACTGATGGGGGTTGTGCCTCTGTGTGTTCATTGGGACCGAGTTACAAGGGAGAGGAAAGGTTTAAGGCGATGCAGCAAGCTGCTTCTGGCTGTGCCGTGGGACAGTTCAGCTAAGATTTGGAAGCAGAACTGAGCAGCTTTGGGGGCAAAGTGACTTTTGCATGTTTATCTTAAATATAAGATGACTTTGAAGGTCTCACCTGAATGTCTGAAAATTGCCATTTTCAAAATAAACTCAAGTCAGCAAGTGATTTTTTTCACTACAAAATGAAGTCAGAATGAACCATATTTAAAAATAATTGGCAGTGCACCCCAGTGTGAGAAAGGCCCATGAGCTGCTTCCAAATGCTTTGTTACTGATACCAGCTCTGTTTTTCAGACCAGAACTTCTGACTCACAGTACCACTGAAGTTACTCAGCCGAGAACAAACACACCAGGTAAAGTAGTTGTGGAATCCTTCTTTAAAAACACAGATCAATACTTTTTAGGCTTTTAAAAATTAATGTCATCTTTTAAAATATGGAAGTTCTCCTTTCCCTGCCTCCCCAAAAAGTCGTTTGCAGAAGCTCAATCCAGGCACTTCTTGATTTATCAGTGTGAACACCTGTAGTGTGCGCATAGCTCAGGCTTTGAACTTAGACCACTGTTACCCACGAGAAAGACAGTGTGCACCCAAATGCAAGCCGTGTATGTGATTTTACATGTTCTCATTCAGACTGTAATCATTATAAAGAAACACACAGCCCGGCGCGGCGGCTCACGCCTGTGATCCCAGCACTTTGGGAGGCGGAGGCGGGCAGATCACAAGGTGAAGAGATTGAGACCATCCTGGCCAACGTGGTGAAAGCCCGTCTCTAAAAAAAAAAAAAAAAAAAAAAAAATGAGCTGGGAGTGGTGGTACGGGCCTGTAGTCCCAGCTACACAGGTGGCTGAAACAGGAGAATAGCTTGAATCCGGGAGGTGGAGGTTGCAGTGAGCCGAGATCACACCTCTGCACTCCAGCCTGGTGACAGAGGAAGACTCTGTCTCAACAAAAAAAAAAAAAAGGAAATAGACAATGAAGTATTTCACAGTCCTTATTTCATAAGCATATATTCTTTATTTGACAATTTGCATGTCTTTCATACTCACAGCATATTTCAATTCCAAGTAGCCACATTTAAAACATTTCTACTGCTCGGGGATGGTACCTACTATCTGCATTTAGACCTTAATGTTTATTCCTAGGCACCCTGTTCCTAAAATGGCAAAGACTGTAACTCTGGCCTGCACACAATTGTCAGCCTAATAGGAAAGATGTAAGAAGTCTCTGTTCAATGAATGATGTTATTTTCCTTATTAGGGCTCTAAGTGTGCCTTTATTATTTCTTCCTTTTTTTTTTTTTTTTTGAGATGACGTCTAACTCTGTAGCCCAGGCTGGAGTGCAGTGGTGTGATCTCAGCTCAGTGGGGCCTCTGCCTCCCAGTTTCAAGCAATTCTTCTGCCTCAGCCACCTGAGAAGCTGGAGCTGTAGGCATGCACCACCACGCCCGGCTAATTTTTGTATTTTTCGGTTTCCCCCTCCTCTTCCTCCCAGGAGAAGAAGGGAAGGAGCTGGCTTTCTGGCAGGTTTGAGAAAGGCCGGCAGTTTCTCTGTATGAATCACTTTCCTCTCCCGAAGACAAAGGGCTTTCTCCTCCCTCTTGTGCGCCTTTGTGATTTTTCTCCGTTTTAATGCTGCCATGGTTACTTCTTTCAACCTGAAACCAGCCTGTCCAACATGGGGTTTCACCACATTGGACAGGCTGGTTTCGAACTCCCGACCTCAGGTGATTCACCTGCCTTGGCCTCCCAAAGTGTTGGGATTACAGGTGTGAGCCACCACACCCAGCCTGTTTCTCTTTGTTTCCCATTGTTAATGTCAGAGTAAGTGACCACAATTTGTAGATCATGAGCCACCTTAGGAACTTCTGTTGCCAAGAACCAATAAATGGCCATACCCTGTGGGGTGGTGTTCTGTTGTCCGGAAGCGAGTGTTTGGAATCAAGTATGAGATTCGTGTGTGTATTAGGTGTTTAAAGATTGGTGCAGTTAATCAAGCTCATGAGTACTAAGGTGAACAAATGTTTCAAGTTGGGTTAATGGGTGTGTCCTAAAATACTGCTCCTTCAGTTCTCACAGGGCCTGTGGCCATTCGTGAAGGTCAGTCAGTGTGCCACATGGATTTTGTGTGGATTAGGGTGTGGAACGTGGTTGAGAAATTCTGTAGAAGGGTAGTAATGTGACCGTGGTCCGGGAGTCCTGCACTGGAGAAGGTGAAAGTCAGTGCTTCACTCATAGGTTAACCTCAAAATGCTTTTGATTTGGTCAGGGAAACAAAGTATTGGTGAAGAATCGAAGATTGGAAGTGACACCTTTTTTTGCTCAGGGAAGTAGTGGAGAAAGAAAAACCTTCCAGGAGGCAGGTCTTCAGTTTGGATGAATCTGAACATGATGAAACCTGTAGAAATTCATTTCTCAAGACAAAGCTCAAGTTCAAGGCTGTGAGGCGTGCACTCAGCGCTTTTGTCAGGGGCGGCTGTGACAGTGACTGCAAAAGCCTGTACGATATAAAGAAGGTGCAGGCGCCCTCGAAGTCACTGCAAGGATTGGGTCTGGAGCAGTGCGGGACCTGCGATCGTCACCAGAGCGCAGCAGCGGTCGCCACAAGGAGAATCTCCACTTTTGCTGTCACTAACAGCACTTGACTTTATCCCATTCCTAAAAGATCCTGGAAGGAATGAAAGCTGCTTGGTGGCTCCTCATTCTGCCATAACCTTACGTGGCGTGCCCGTGGACCGTGCATTAGTCTTTAGACAGGACAATTCAAGTCACAGACCACGTGACAAAAGAATTTGGGGGCCATCAGAATTGTCTGCTTAAAGGCACCATGGGTGCGCATTGTCCTCAGCTTGGTGAAAGGGAGCTGTCACACCTGAGAAGGGGGTGGAGCCAGGGACGTGATGGAGGGGGAGGCGGCACCTGGCTCTGTGAGGTGGAGTGTGACCTCCTGCCTGGTAGGAGCCAGTGCCAGAGGAGGAGGTGGGGGCAGGGCAGAAGAGGAGGCTGAGTGGTAAGTGAAAAGACGCACTTGACCTCAGAGGAGGAGAGTCCGATGTCTTTATTGGTGGTATTGAAATGTGGTTCATACCGGAGTTATTTTCTGTGCCTGAATGAACTCTGAAATCCACAGGGAAAAAGCAACTCACGTTAAACCGTTGAGATGCTAAGTTTTCTTTTAAAGTAAAGGAAATGTTACAAGATCTTCGGAAACCACCAACCTTTAGCGATATTTTCAGTCCTCCTCCGACATTTTCCGCTGCGTTTGTCACAGAAATGAACTCCACACTGAGGCGAACCCTCCACCCCGACCCTTTTCCTCTCTCTCTTTCCCATCTTGCCTCATCCAGGAACACTCCAGTCATCCTCCAAGTCTGTCTCTGCCCTCGTCCGCACCCCCTCCACCCCAGCCCTGAACGCCGTCCACATGAGTGTTTTTTCTTTTGGGTAGGAAAATAAACCCCACTGTCACTGAGTGATGTTGAGTGCCATCCCCTTTTTACCATGGCTTACTTTTTTTTGAAGTGATTTTTCCCTTTATGTCTTTTGCTTTAAGCCATCTGTGAAATTGCACGGCGATTTCTGGGGTGGGGACAGAAGGAAGGCAGTGGTAGAGGTCATTGGTGCTGTGCCCAGTTGGCTGGAGGAGGTGCGAGGCAGGGTGCTCCTGCACTGGGGCAGCTGGAAGAGCTTGGATGGCCCCGTGGGCAGGCGGGTGAGTTCTGTGAGTCGGAGGGCCGGTACGCAGTGTCCTCCGTGGTTCCAGCTTGTAGGCTTGATCAGGCTGTCACCTGCAGCTGGCAATGAACTCTGCTGCTTTTGAGTCACCCTTGGCAGAGATGATGGCTGCCGCCTTCTGCTGCTCAGCTTTTGCCACCACGCATCTGGCCCTTTCTCCTTCCTGCTGAGCTACCTATTTGGCTTCCACTGCTTCTGGAAATGCCTCCCTGAAGGTCAGATCCAAGGTCATAGCATCCGGGAGGAACCCAAAGGTTGCTGCCTGCTCCGAAGTTGATTGCTCGCCTGTCTAGAGCTCAGCCCTCCCTGCGTGATCAGTTCTCCAGCCTCAGCCGAGCCACCCCTGGCTCGAGGAGTTCTGCGGTGATGGACGGCAGCACGCTCTTCATTAGCGTCTCTGATGCTCAGAAGATGCTCAGACCTGGCCAGCAACAGGTGGGAAGAGGACGCCCAGTGTGATGGTGACAGTCTTTGCTCACAGTGATGACTGGCATGTTACGTGGTCAAGAGCAGCAGTCAGAGACAATTGGTGTCTTTTCCCATGGGATGAGAAAGTGAGTTCCATCCCCTCTCACAGTGTCCTGAACTCCGTGGACTTGGTGGAAGATGACAGCTCTCTGTCCAGCATCACAGTGTAGAAGGCAGAGTTCCCCACGCCTCCTGCAGCAGCTAAAGCCCGGTCAGGCTTGGCAGCTGTGTTTCCGTCTGCTAGACCCACACACACCTGCCTCCACTCCAACCCCCACATGAATTCGTGCCTTTATCATTGATTTCTGATGGGAAAACTTGCTTTGATTGGTGAAGTGTTGCTTTACATGGATTTCTAGGCACACCTCTGTTCGACAGAACAAGGACTGCCTGTAGAGAGAGCAAATAGAAGTGAAATCGCTCTTGTTGGAGCTAGTGTGGGAGCGCTCCAACCTTACGCAGCTGGCCTCCCCGCCATGACAGTTCCCCGAGGGACCTCTCCAAGGAGAAATGTGTGAGAAGCGCTGATTCTGAGCACTCTTTCATGTGGGCAAATTTCATTTTATTTACAATGCAAACTTAAATTTAAATGCTGTCTTTCTAGGCCAGGTGTGGTGGCTCATACCTGTAATCCCACCCCTTTGGGAGGCCAAGGCAGGTGGATCACTTGAGGCCAGGCATTCATAGCCAGCTTGGCCAACATGGTGAAACCTTGTCTCTACTAAAAATACAAAAATTAGCCTGGCGTGGTGGCGCACACCTGTAATTCCAGCTACTTGGGAGGCCGAGGCAGGAGAATTGCTTGAACCCGGGAAGTGGAGGTTGCAGTGAGCTGAGATCACACCATTGCACTCCAGCCTGGGCATCATAGGGAGATCCGTCTCAACAAATGAATAAGTAAATTGTCTCTCTGCAGTTTTTCTGATATTTAGCAAGTACTGGAAATTATTCATTTCCTTAAGACCCGCAATTTTTGTTTTTAACAAAACTGAATTAAGAGAATCACTACAAGCAAGGGTACATTCTGGGAAATCCATTCTGATTTGCAACAGCACCAATCAATAACATGGTTAATTGGGCTTATTTTTGTTTTCCAGTCAAAGAAGACTGGAATGTCAGAATTACCAAGTTACGGAAGCAGGTGGAAGAGATTTTTAATCTGAAATTTGGTAAGTAACATCCAGCATTTACGTCTTTAATAACATATCAATGAAGGGCCATGTCTGAATGAAGTATAGAAGTTCAGGACCTAAAGAAGGAAGGTCCCAGAAACTCAGTTTTCCACCACTACACCTGCTCCTGAAAACAAGCCGATGACTTCCTTTCTCTTGAATTCCACCTTCTCCGTTGTCAGAATGGGAGAGGAAGGGAGACGTTAGGGTAACTCGCAGTTCCACTGTCTGAACTTCTAATCTGGCTAACACCCATGTGACAAGTAGGTTTCACCATTTGTTTCAGCTTAGATTTGTTGACAGCGGTTTCCTGGAGTGCTGTCTTGAGCAGGAGTCTGAGGAGGCTCAGCAAGAGCGTTTCAGTTGATTGGGTGTATCTGTCATGGGGAAGGAAGTAAGGAGCGGGCAGTGGTAGCAGAGTTTCTGGGCGTTCCTGTCCATTACCTCAATCTGTGCTGTTGACGTTTCTTGTCCCAGATCAGGAGTCCTCACTGCCCTGCCTCTGACCGCTCGGACTGAGTGCTGCTTAGCTGTGTGGTAGACACTGTGTTTTTTGACCAGACACCCTTCCTCTCAATAACACAAAGGCTGGCAGGGGTCGCTGCTGTGTGGAATGGCCTTCCATCATTTCTGCCCCGAGCACAGAGGTCATTTTGACTAATAACTCTCCTTTTGATTTAAAGTGTTCAGATGTTCCTCCTAAAATCCTTACTTTTTAGGCTCGTTCTTCAGATTTGCCCAGTATCCTAAGCAAAATGCCTCCCATATGAAGCGGCTATTGCTCCATCGTAGGGAATTTGTCCATGATGTACTTGGGAATGCAGACACAAATAAAAGAATGTCCGCGTCATCCGTGATCCTCCACAAGTTACGTTCTCTTGCACTTTCAGCTCAAGCTCTTGGACTCACCGAGGCAGTGAAAGTACCATATCCTGTGTTTGAATCAAACCCCGAGTTCCTGTACGTAGAAGGCTTGCCAGAGGGGATTCCCTTTCGAAGCCCTACCTGGTTCGGAATTCCACGACTTGAAAGAATTGTCCGTGGGAGTAACAAAATCAAGTTCGTTGTGAAAAAGTAAGTGATCTTTGCCACTGTAGTCATTTCGGGAATTAAAACAATAAAAATGACGTTTCTGTTCATTAGGTTTTCTAGCTAGAGGTGACAGGCGTGGGTGTGAGTCCTTGATGGAAAAGCCTGGCTCTGAGCTGCAGTCCTGGTGCTGTCCATTGCCCCTGCAGTCCCCCAGCCTGTCCGCCGTCATCCTCATCAGTGCAAGGAAAATAGTGACGATGGCCTCTGAGGTGTCACTCCAAGGCACTGTGGTGATTCACAGTATGCCTGAGTACTTGAAGTTTAACTTGAGGTGTTTTTTTTTTGTTTTTTTTTTTGAGATGGAGTCTCACTCTGTCGCCCAGGCTGGAGTGCAGTGGGGTGATCTTGGCTCACTGCAACCTCTGCCCCCTGGGTTCAAGTGATTCTTCTGCCTCAGCCTCCTAAGTAGCTGGGATTACAAGCAACCGCCACCATGCCCAGCTGATTTTTATACTTTTAATAGAGACGTGGTTTCACCATGTTGGTCGGGCTGCTCTTGAACTCCTGATCTCGTGATCTGCTCGCTTCAGCCTCCCAAAGTGCTGGGATTACAGGCGTGAGCCACTGTGCCTGGCCAACTTGCTGGTTTTTATCTGCTCTGTCATTTCTGGCCAATCTTGTGAGCAACTAAATATCAATGATTGAGTTTCTTTCTTTTCTTTTTTTTTTTTGGAGACAGAGTCTTGCTCTGTCACCCTGGTTGGAACACAGTGACATGATCTCCACTCACTGCAACGTCTGCCTCCCAGGTTCAAGCAATTCTCGTGCCTCAGCCTCTCGAGGAGCTTGGATTACAGACTTGCGCCACCACACCAGGCTAATTTTTGTATTTTTAGAATAACAGAGTTTCACCGTATTGGCCAGGCTGGTCTCAAACTCCTGACCTCAGGTGATCCACCCGCCTCAGCCTCCCAAAGTGCAGGGATTACAGGCATGCGCCATCACTGAACCCAACCTAATGACTGAGTTTCTTATCTACGTTTCTGCAGAATTTTAGTGGCCAAGAAAATACACTAGTGTTATTTTTTTTCAGGAAAGAAGTTATTTATTTACCCTTCATAAAATCACTTACCAGTCATGGGAAGGAAAAATCAGGGTTTTTTGTCCACAACAATAGGAATTATTGTTGTGTTGCATGATGATTCTGTGAACGCCTTTAGAATAAAAAAGCCCGGTCACATCACGACTGTTGTACGAGCTGTGAGACACCATTGTACTGGCTCCTGTGACATTTCTTGGTTTTCTTTCTAGACCTGAACTAGTTATTTCCTACTTGCCTCCTGGAATGGCTAGTAAAATAAACACTAAAGGTAAGAGATGATGTGTACTCTATTCTATTTGAGTGCATTAAGACATTCTTTATCCGATTCCTTAAATCATATGGAATCGTTGGCCAGTATCTTTGTGGGACTTAAGAGTTGGTTACTTTGCTTCTTAAGGCATTTTATTTAATGGGCCTCTTTTTCTTTCTTTTCGTTTTTTTTTTTTTTAAAAAAAAAAA